GCTCTCTCTCTCTCTCTCTCTCTCTCTCTCTCTCTCTCCCCCCATTCCTTTCCTTCTTCCTCATCCCGTTTTCTAGACCAAAACACAACTGATTTTTCTTCTTCCTGCTGATTTTTTTTTTCTCGAATATTACAATGGCCTTTCCCCTAGTTCCATTCTTGGTCAAGTTTCTTTCTCGAGTGATGCAGTCAGGACAGTGTCATTCGATTGAAGTCGTCTTACATCAGCTTCATTTAACAGTGGTTCTGCTGAAGGCGTGTATGTATTACTACTATGGTTTTAAATGTATCTCTGGATGCACATCACATCTAGTATTTCGTTTTCAATACATGCATACATATATATGTAATATATATGAATATATATATGTAATATATATGAATATATACAAATATATACAAATAGACAGTGGGTGCCCATTGATGATTAAGAGTCATACATTTGGGGTGCAGACCTTCAGCCATAGCTGAATTGTTCAGAGAATGTCTGTAAGTCAGAGTGTGGGTACAGGCTGTAAAGGAGTCCTTGCTTCTACAACCCGTGTGCCATGTCCTTCCTCTCTTCCTTGCTCCCTTTTATTTCTCTGTAGGTTCTCACCCTCTCTGTAAACCACAGATGCCAAATGATATGCCAACAGACACTACATTCCCCAGCAGCTGCTGCCAGAGCCCTCTTGTAGCTTCTTCATTCTCTGTTTGTTTCCAGCTTTCTTTCCCCCCTGCCCCCTTTGTGTTTGGGCCATAATTTTAAAATAATTTTTGCTATGGGTATGTGTTGCCAAAGCCATATTTTTAGGAGACAAAAAACAAATTAATTTAAACAGTAAAAGCCAGCGTCTCAAAATGTAAGCATTAAGACAGTACAGTGAGATGACCGGAAACACACATTGCCAAACAGTTGCTAACAGAACTGCTTCTCATGGTCTGTTCTTTGCTTTGCCCTTAAGGTCAGTGCCAGTGTCCAGATGAGCAGTATAAAAAACTACCCTTTGTGGTTTGTCATGAGATCTGTTCATCTCTCTCTACTGGCACCAGTGTTTTTAGCTCTTTACCTTCTTTCAGTTTGAGTGAGTCTGCCAAGAACACTGGTTGATAGCATTATCCTGTAACCTTTGATTGGGGGGGGGGGCGTGGCGGGAAAGTGAGCTTATTTTACCACTTTCAGGTTCTTCTTGAACTGGTCGCTTGAACTTAAGGAAGATTTGTGGATTTATCCAAAAGTCACCAGTCAGTGTTCTGTCAAGCATGTATTTATGTAATGATCATACTAGGAGAGATGTTTGGAATTCTCCATGTGCAATTTGTCAGCAGATACAAACAGTGCTTAACATGTGTGAGTGAGCCTGTCAAGCAGCCCACGTTGCTATGTGATTTAAGTAGATTGTGATTGCTCTGAGGCTGCCGGGAAGTTAGGCCACAATGCTGGTCTCATTAGTGGTTGGCACTAGTCTAAACTTCCATATCAATCACCTTTCTTGAATAACAAAGGGGGGAGAGAGTGAACAGCTTACCGTATGAGCACTGAAATTGCTGACACGTAATGAAGTGTTCTCATGCTTTATTCTCCCAGCCCCAAGCAACACAGCTTACTTTTTATTCCCTTGCTCTAGAAAGCACCTGTAATTTAATTAACAGACTGCCTGTAGGTTATAGTGCAATTATGAATGTTCTGATCGTTGTACATACATCTCTCTTGATATTGCAGCATCCATACTGGCTTTGTAATCATTAATTTTTTGGCAGGTTGAATGTGCTGTATCGATATGTATCTATGTAATTGTATTGTATGTCTTGTAGCTAATTCACATTTTGAATAATGTTATTTTATTTACTTTTTTAAGAGAGGAGAATGTAAATTTGTCAGTTTATTTCTGACTAGGGATATTTTTTTCCACTTAGAAAAGAAGAAACAAACAAACAAAAAAAACCCTTACTATCTATCGTACAGAGCGGTACTAGCATTGTGCTGTCTAAAATCATTTGCACATTCCTGAGTAGAGGTGTGCTGACCTAAGACCCAAAGGTAATTTCATAGCAAATACACAACATCCGTCGGAGCTTTTATACAAACACAGAGACCAACTTTGTAGACCTTTTGCCATTTGACCTGGGGTTGGAATATGAGCTTTTATACGATTCATATTCTTATTTGGCAAATGCACAGTTTAGCATTACCTCTCTGGTGGCCTTTATTAGAAAGGCAGTTTTAGAAGCTATTGTGATCCACTAAGGAGATGTTTTATCAGCTAGCAACCACTGCTTGCCTGAAAGGGCAACCTTAAATTTGGTGCAGCAAAAAACAAAAAAACAAAAAACAAAACAAAAAAAGAAAAAAAAAAGAAAAAAAGAAAAAGGCAGAACCAGAAAAAAGTAACATTTGATGGCCTACAGTGTATAGAAAAAACCTCATCACAGGATCATAAGTGTTGACAGTCCTAGGGGACCATGCTAATCTATTTAACAGAGCCGTAGTAGATGTCGTTGAGTCATCCTGATCTCAAGCTCAGAGCCGCTGAGCAAAGCAGGGAAAGGGTCGCTGTCGTCGCTGCATTGTCTTTGTGAATTGGAGATGGAACTTGCTATGCAGAATTGAAGTTTGTGACTTCACTGCTCATCCTAGGGTGCATGACAGAATCCCTTCTTTTAAGAAAGGAAAACATTGATCACCCTAGCCGGAGTGATGCCTAGACACATAATTGTATCCACACTAGTCAATGAAGCTAAAAATAATTTCTGTTGTTGTTTCTTGTTTGGGGTTTTATTGAAGGGGTGAGGGGCGGGAAGGGCTTCTCAGTTTTGTACAAAAACAAAGTTTACTCATGCTCTCTCTTCTATTGTGATTGCAACGCTCTAAGCTGTGCCACTGACTCCTGTTGATGCTCTAGACAGTGGAGGCTTGTGGTGAGTTTTATGGTGACTTGGGCATGTCTTATTCAGAAGCAAAACACAGAACACAGAAACCTTTCCTCACCAGACCAAGTCAAGCACCCATCTCATGAGTCACTCAGCACATCACAGTGTGCCGTTTACAGATGATGTCACCCACGGAGAATTCCTATTTGTAAATGGAGGGTTATATTATGCCTTACAGAGCTTAATTCAGAAGTCTGTGCCTCATATCTGAAATAAAGGGAAAAAACAGACCCACACAAAAGTCAGTAAGTCCCGTAGAACCTGTTGGGTTTCCTTAGGAAGAGCTCTGTTGAGTGTCCTGAGTAGCTGGCAAATTCTTCTTAGGAGCCTGCATATGTCGTTTACTGGCAGGTGGCATCCACAGGCGACATGTAAAGAACACCTGGAACATGGGGGCTTGAGGGTTTTGTTTTTGTTTTGTTTAATTTAGATTACATTAGCAGGCCTAATAGTTTTAAAAGGTAATTCAGCCAAAGGGCAATTTACTTTTTGTACTTCAGACTTCTATTGATTGTCAAGTTGTACGAATTGTAATTTAAAAATTTATACTGCCACATGATTGTAAATTTTAGTTGTCTTAAGTCGGAATTGGTGAAAAGCTGTTTATGCTGGATTTGGGTCAAAATGACTTGATTATTTGCAAAAAAAATAAAAATAATAATGGGAAGAAAGGGCTGCATTATAAGATATTGCAAGACTCAGATCTCGGTTGGAGATTCCTCAGACCCCTTCAGATGAACCCGATGCCCCTTTCTTTTCAGTTTCTCAAAAGAACGAATGAAGTGAAATATAGCAGAATGTTAACCCATATAAAAATAAAGTGTACCCAAATATTGTAATGTATATTGCTGCTCTTCTTAAAATTAAATAAGGGTTTCAAGCCACTCAAGTGGTAATTAACAGCATCTCAGTTGATACAAATAAGGTGTGCTTGGGTGTACGTTTTATTTTGTATGGAATATTTTATTCCAAAGAGAAATCTTTGGTTAGAAACACAAATATGGAAGTTAATAATGTGTGCTTATCTGTCTTTGCACACTTCCAGCATATGCAGTGTTACTAGATGCCCTGGTACTTGTGTCTTTGGGATTCCATTTGGGTTCTAGACAACAAGAAGAAATAAACAGCTTGGTTGTGTGTGATGCTGCAGAGGTTTGGGAAGCCAGACACCTGCCATCCCACAGATAGCTTGCTGAGCCTCTCCACTCCCGTCTTTGTCACAGTAATGCTGTCTCCTGCTGTGTCCCCACCACCACCACCCTTCCATAGTGTTCTTGCTTCTAGAATCATCTGTTCAGAGTAAGCATACACACCTGATGCACAGTAGGTGTTCAGGCATTATGTACCTCCTTTTCATATCTGCCATGGACTTCCATCTCCCTAAAATTTGAACCCAAACTAATTACATGTTACAAAAACAGCCCTTTTGTAAAATTGGATCTTGCATAGATAAAGGAATTCTGGCTTTCATAGAAGCTTTGAGAGGAAGAAAATACAGGAAGATTGTTCATGGAGCTATTTCTAGGGGTAGGAAAGAAAGTGGAAAAACACTGTGTAAGTTTGTCTAGGTCACTTTCATTGAAACACATTTCTGGCAGATTTCCTCAAAGGACTGTAATTGCAGCCTCTGGCCGGACGCTCCGCATCCACCCTCATGTTGGAAGCCCTGACTAGATCTGTGTACTTAGGGAGTTTTGTCAAAAACATTTTTAACTTGCAGTATTTAAAAAAATCATATTTACTG